CTCATTTATATCATAAAGATTAAAGTACAAGTTACGTAAGGACTGACATGACAAAACTGAAAAGATAACAGAACATCTCTGAGCTTGACACCAACGCCCATCACCTGCCTCCGGCACCACGACAGCAGCCACCGAAGAAAAGAATGATGGATCACCTCCTCACCCGAGCTCGACATGTAAGTGTAGCATGTCTACACGTTCTTGTGTACAATGGGTCGGCTGCCGCCGCCGCATGCCAACACCCACCAATGTGAAGCGGTTGTTGGTCGGCTACAAATGACACGGACCAGAAAGGAGTAAGGACATCTCTAACGGCAACCCTTAAATTTTCTCCCGCATCCTTCCGCGGATAGGGGGGCCAGTCCGCGGATGTGGGAGGACGCCATCCAACGCTAGCTGCATGCATTTCAAACTTTTTTTCACAAACCGGATGAAATTCATGCAAACACGATCGGATTTCGTACAAACATGACGGATTTAATTACATTTCGAACATTTAGAAAAAAAAGACCCGCCCCTAAACATATCCTATGGCGGCGGCGCCCAACGTCCAAGCCCGTGTCGTCCTCCTTTCACCGTTTCCATGAGCACCGGCGATAAGACCGATGAAGTGAAGGTGTCGTCTCCGGCGAGGAAGAGTAGAACACGTGAGACGGATCAGCCCACATGGGACATCAGGCCCCGCCACCTCCCGTGGCCTACTCATCCTTGGAGGTGTCCGCGCCCTGTCCGTCGCTGGTGGACGTGAGGTCCACGAGGGAAATGGTGGCGTCGGCCCTGTCGTCCCACCGGGCCGGCTGATGGTTCATCGGCGGGGCATAGGAGGCGCATGTGGCGATGTTCTCCTCCGCGATCACCTGCAGCTGCACCTCCGCGGCTGCCGCTTCCTGCCGAGCGGCGGCTTGAGCGCGGACGACATCGTCGATGGCACGCTTCCCCGCGATGAAATTTGGGTTCGCCGCGGCCATGGCCGCCACGGTCTCCTCGCTCGCGCACTCACCGTAGATCTGGCCATCCGCCAGCTGGTGCTACTCCAGCAGGAACATGTTGTACCGGTGTTCCTCCTGCGCTTGCTGGAACGCCGAAAAAGGTGTCGGCGCAGGCTGCACCTCCTCCATGGCGGCGTTGAAGTGCGCCTGTGCCTCCTTCATGGTGAAGCCGCCGTGCACAGGAGGTGCAGGAGCCATGGCGGAGTCGTCGAAGCTCGTCTCCATCATGGTGTCGTCCTTGTCGTCGGAGACCTCGGGCGAGCTGGTCGGCAAGCCGGCCTCGATCCGCCTGGCACGACAGCTATGCCAGGCAGCGGCAAGGGTGGCCATTGCGTGCTTCATCTCCGGCGGCAGACTGTCCCACAGTGCTTTCCTGCTGGCGTTCATGGCAGATGCAGTGCAAGGGAGGAGGATGTGGAGGGCCTTGTGTTGTGTTGTGGTGTGGAGTTGCCATGTTTGGCCACCTTTATGTAGCAGATTCCGGTGAGGCGTGCGTCGGAGTGCGTCAATGGCAGCGCCGGAGTGGGTTTCTCGGGCGGCGAGCTTGCTTAATGGCGACATACGAACGACCATTAGCATTGAATGGCCGTGGTAGATATCCGTCCCGTCTAGTCACACGTCTCTGGCATTGAACAGGCGTGGACACCATAGACGTGTCGCGAGCAGCGCCCTTGGCCGGCGCGCCGCTTCAATGAAGGAGACAGTGAGAGGTCGCATCCACCCTGAGCCATTTTCAATATTGAGCGACGCGCTCTACAGTGACATGAATGCTGGCAGCTGGCGCCGAGGGGAGTGTGCACGGGAGGTTTGCTTGCTGCCACTGTTACTCCAGACTAATCTGGTTGATGCTATTGTTACTGTTAAATTTGTTCATAATATTATTTCTTTATATTTTACTTCTAAATTTAGCTTATGACATCAGGTCCAAAATTATTGATAATGTTATTTCTTTAAGTTTTACTTTTAAATTTCAGACTGAACTATAATAAGCTGAACTAAGTTGACTCGGGACCACCTCTCATGTTTCAATCTGGCATCCCGAAAAACCCTACCCTCAATCGATTCATTCTTCGACATGTCGTTCAGTTTTTTTTGAAGCCCACCGTTCATGTTGAGCGGTCATTGGTTGTCATGTTAAAATTGAGGACGTGCATGCTCATGAGAATGCTTACGATGTACTCCACTTCCTTCGTAAACTAATATAAAAGCATTTATAATACTAAAATAATGATCTAAACGCTCTTATATTAGTTTACAGAGGAAGTATGTTATTGTTTAATCTCTCAATGCACCGCACGGATTTATTTGCTAGTAAAGATAATTAGTATTATGTTGTCTGTCTAAAATATAATACGTTTTTGCTTTTCAAAATTAAACTGCAAAACACTTTGAGACAGCGGGAGTACTACCCAATATCTAAGATCTTGCCGTGTTGGTGTCCTATAGGTACAGGGAAAGAAAACCCACCTCGGCCGATCGGCCAGCCTATATAACGCGTCACGCGCACAAAACTCGCCAGCCCACCACAAAACTCGGAGAGAATTCGGAAGCTTGCAGCTTCGGATTGTTACATGGATCAGCATTGATTCGATCAGCAACCACCGGGCGATCGAACGATGGAACAGAGCTCTCGTCGTCGTCGTCGTCGTCGTTGTCGAGCTCCAGGTGGACGAGCTACGGACCAAACGCCAACTTCTTCATCTGCTTCCAGCAGTCATGGTGCCACCAACCCGAGGTATTTTCGCAACCCCTCTCCCCTTCTCTCTTCTTGTTTTTACGATACAATCTCCGGTGTCTTCTTCTCTCATCGCTGCGGTCGCCTAATCTCGTTTAGGCAAAAGTCACCTTGATTTCCTCATAACAATTACCTCTCCCCTCGATGCATGATAGCTTGGGAAGTTGATCGTTCCCTGATATTTCTATGGCAAAGTGATTGCCGTTTATCATTGTTTTGTTCGTAATATCTCACATGGGCTTGGGGAGAAGACCACAGAAGGAAGTTTAACTTGAACTGAGAGATGATAAGATCTACCGTTGGAATTAATGAAGGATACTGGCGGACGCACCCACGAAGCCAGAGTTAAGCTAGCAATTCACAATAATCATGTTGTTCTAATATAATCCTCATGTGGACGGTCGTGAAGAAAGTCGCGGATAAAATACTTTACGTGGTTTTATCCTGTGTGTTGTTTAGGGATTGGTTATAATATATTATACTCCCCTCGTTCGATAATATAATGCAAGATTTTCAAAAAGCCAAACCTCATAAATTCTGATCAAGTTTATGGAGAAAAATGATTGCATCTACAATGCCAAATATATATCAATAAATTCATCATAAGACGAATTTTCATATTTTATATTTTGGTTATTGTAGATATAAATAATTTTCTTTATAAACTAGTCAAAGTTTGCAAATTTTGACTTTTCAAAAAAATATGTACACACTAAACGGAGGGAGTAACAAAGTTTAGTTGCATGAATGCAATTTTTTTGATTAGTGATATTTTGCATATCTTTGGTCACATCACATGTGCCATCCTTTACTAGTGAAAGAGGAGTCAGAGAAAAACCCGTACTAGCGTGGGAGAAGAAAACTAGGTGTGAAGAACACATGCATGTATGAAAGTGATTACTAATCCTAACTAAGATTATATGACAATTATGATATAAATATAAGTTAGTGAGGCTAGCATCTCTCTTTCTCCCCTGCTTAAAAGGATGTAAAGTTCTGTTGTCCGCTTGTCCATTGTCTAACCTTATATATGTGCAAACTAATCTCTGTCTCTACTACTTAAAAAGAATGTCAGATTCCCATTTTACCTTTCTTCTCACCACCACCCCTTCATCCAACCTTTCATGTGTATGGTAATCAATCACCTTAATTTACTTATCTTTTTTGGAACCAATTCCACTTTAATTTACTTACCAAACTTTTAATCAAAATACAAGGCGTGGGTAGAAATTGATGAACATTTATTTACACAATTGCATTATTATTGATAGGTAAATCACAAGTTAACGTAATGAAATATTTATATCCTGTTGCAACGCACGGGTATTGTTCTAGTCAATATAAGAAAGTAAAGGACTAGTACAAATCTAACGTCACTTTTTTGACCATGACAAATCAAACATTTTCTATGACAATTTGTGTTTGTCGAGGATGACAAGTTTAGTTGGCAAGCATAGTAAATCCGGCTTAGTTCATTTTTTATCAGAAAAATAAATTTGTCATCCTCACGCCAGATATATTTGGCATAAAAACATTCTATTTGCCGTGCTTAAAATATAACGTTGTATTTTTAGCATTGCCGAACATAAAACATCCGGTCGGGCAGTGGCGGGGCTTGGGCTGAATTCTAGTTGGGGGCGGGGGGGAGGGGGGGCGGGCAAATAATATGCATTTTGGTCTGATTTTCCTTGAAATATGGGCCAAATACTAAGGATTATAGCACAAACAAAAATTTGGGTGGGGGGCGACAGCCCAGGTTGGCCCTGAGAAGCTCCGCCACTGCGGTTGGGTGTCCTGCCGTCCGTACCATTTGATAATACTAAATCTTCTTACCAGTGCAAAGTGTTGTTAAGGATGGGCTAGTGATAAAGTTAGCACAAAGTTGAGTCATCTATTTTAAAACGGAGGGAGTAGATGGGTGGGATTGGATCGGAGAGATGAAGATAGTGGGTGAAGATATATATAGAGATGGTTGATGACTTGATGTTGAACCACTAGAATATACATGCTTCTTTACCCAGTTATCTAGTAGTAATAATAAAAAGTTGGTCTCCTAAAAAATTGTTGATGAAATAATAAATCGACCGAGCTACAAAATACCATGAGCTTAACATGTTGGGCTGGATGCGAGATCAACGCATAGGCACGAGAGTTCAAAAAGGGAACCGGAAGAGAGACACACACACCCCACACCCGTCCCTAACACACCCCACCAGTGACACCCAAAATTCCCCAAACCACACTAGGTCTCGCCGCCGGCTGCCCTCACCCTCGCCATGGACGGCGATGGAGATCCCCACGACGGGCATCACCCTCAAAATCCTGCCCCTTCTGACCCTCGACACCCCCAGCTTGAGGAGGAAGGTAATCCCCTCCCTCATGAAGCGCAGAAGGAAATGGAAGCAGTGAGGAGAGCGAATAAGGTAGCGCGGAAGATACGGCGTCTGAGGGCCAAAGCTCTCGCGCGGGGGCAGGGAAAGCTACAGAAGGAGGATCTGCCCCAAATCACACCAGGATCGTCCGTAGCCCTCGCCATGGGAACCCATGGCTACTCTGAAACTCCTCCTGACACTCAACACAGCGGGGAGCAAGCTCTGAAGCCCGGGCAAGTGCTTCGTACGGGAGTGTTGGTGGAAGCGCCTGACAAAATCCCCTCTTCCGCCGGCACTGATGTGTGAGCGCCTTTTCAACTTGCCCCTTTCACAAGCAGCTAACTATTATTGCCATTAAAAAACGAAACTTTGATCAGAAGGTAGTTAGCTTGCACGTGTGTGCGGGGTTAAAGAAAGGGTTTGGCTAGTATACCAATGTACGGTGTCGTCTTTAACATAAATGTATTCCATCAGTGGGTTGCGAATACATACCCATACCAGTTCCTATAATTACAGGATGGTGATAGCCTACAAACTATACAATACAACAATAATATCTTAATTCTTAGCAGACCTAAGTTCGGATCTCTCAACCTTTGCATTTGCAGGTCAGCAGCACCCCCAAGACCACATATTCGCCAGAGCGTTTTGTACTCAGATCGCCCAAGGCGATCCAGGAAACCTACATCAGATAAGCTACCGTAAGTGTGACTCTAGCTGGCCAGCTGCTGTTTTTCTGTTTCCACTACGGTCACTGCAAATGTGCCTAACCAGTTCGAATGGTATTAGCTATTTAATATTTACATTAGCCTTCATTCAGTCCTTCTGTAGACAAATTAGAATGCCCTGGTTATGCTGCACCTCCCAGCATTTCTAATCAGTGGCAAGTTACCATATTGCCGTGCTTGTTTTGGTCAGGGTTGAGGAGCATGCCGGTGAGGTGAGCAGCAGGGAGTTTCAAGTCCCGACACTTCATCAGTCACGCTCCACACGTGAGTCAACTAGGTATGTGGTAGGAGCTGGGACCCTACCGGGTCTAGGGCGTAGGTTGTAGGGGAAGGAGGGGGCTGGACGTGGCGAAGCTCGCGGTCGCCGTCGGCAAGGCGCCGTCGTGCGCGAGAGGGAGAGGCGGCGGCGGCGCAAGAGGCGGCTAGGGTTAGGTCTCCCGGCTCCCTAAGGGAAGCCGAGCAAATAATGATTGCTTCTTTGCTTCTTCCTCGATTAGATTGATACATCTCCTCTCCTTATATAGAGAGGTTTACTTGACTCCTAAGCAAACGATAAGATAAACGGGCTAAGCCCCTAATAACGATAAGATAACTTGGGCCACAACCCACTGGGCTAAGCCCCTAATATGACGGTCATAACACTTCTCCCCGCCTGCACAAACAGCTCGTCCTCGAGCTGTAAGGTTGGGAAGCGCTTGCTGAACTCTTCAAGGTGATCAACCAGCGTTAAACACCTTCGCGACAGCTGGGGCGGTCAGGTCGGCGGCGACAGCGTCCTCCTCAATGTAGTCTGCAGCCTCCAGGTAGACAAGTCGCGTGCAGACGTGGCCGGACGTGTACGGCTCGTCGCAGTTGAAGCATAACCCTTGTCGGCGACGCTCGAGTAGCTCGGCCGAGGTGAGCCGGCGGAACGGGCGCGCCGCGGTCGCAGCGAGGGGTACCGCGGAAGCCTGAGTAGGCCGACCCTGCGCGGGAACATCTGGTCCGGGTGGCGGCCCAGTGGCCTGGGACGGTGATGCCTGCTGCATGGCCACCACGCGATGCTCGAACGCGCGGGCGTAGTACATGGCCGTCTGGAGGTCCCGGGGTCCCTGCAGCTCGACGTCCACGCGGAGATGATCTGGCAGACCGCTGACGAAGAGTTCGGCCCGCTGGTGAGCCGTCACGCCGGACGCGTGGCACGCCAGGGCTTGAAAGCGGTCGGTGTAGGGAAGGTGGCCCAACTCGGCCAGGCGGCTCCCGCGGATCGGCGGCCCAAAACGAAGGAGGCACAACTCATGGAAGCGCTCCCACGGGGGCATGTCGCCCTCGTCCTGCTCGAGGGCGTAGTACCATGTCTGGGCTGCACCGCGGAGGTGGTAGGATGTCAGCCAAGTGCACTCCGACGCGAGCGTGCGCTGCCCACGGAAAAACTGGTCGCACTGGTTGAGCCAGTTAAGTGGGTCCTCCGTGCCGTCATAAGTGGCGAAGTCGATCTTGGCGAACCGTGGCGGCGTCTGGGTCGGCGCGCCATGGACGTCCGGCTCGACGGTGCGGAGCAGTGATGATGACGGCGCCCGGTCAATGGTGGGGAGGCCGTCGTAGGCCCCCGCGGAGCCAGACGAGGCCCCAGACTGCAGTGTGGGTACCAATGGGTGCCCAGCCTCCGTGTAAACTGGTGGCGGAATCGGGGATGGTGACGGTGGAAACTGGACCTGCTGGATCGGGAGGCCCCCCGGTGTGGACTGGCCCAGTCCGCAGCTGGGCGGCGGCGGTGGAAGCTGTACCGGCGCGGCCGGCGTGGTTGGTGCGGCTGAGGCCGGCGCGGGCCAGTACGGCCACTGCGGCGATGGGGCGGGCGCGGAAGGCGCGGGTGGCGCCGCGAAAGCCGGCGCGGGCCACTGCGGCCAGGACAGCGCTGGGACGGCCGACAGTGGAACCTGGACCGGAGCCGCATGTACGGATGGCGAGGCGGGGGGCGGTGCGAGCCAGGCCGGCCACTGCGGGCCCTGGGCGGGCGTGGACGACGCTGGTGGCGCCGCGAGCGCGGGCGTCGGCCATTGGGGCCAGGGCGGCGTTGGAGCGGCCGGCGACGGGAGCGCCGGGTAGCCCCCGACGATGGCCGCGGGGACCGAGTACCATGGCAGGGCCGGTTGCCGGAGGGGACGGCCGACGGAAGCAGCGGTGGCGGCCCGTACGGGCTGGCCAAAAACAGGCGGATGCCCTGGACCGCGACCACCAGGTCATTGAGGACACCGGCCATGGCCTCCGGAGTGTACTGGGTCGGCATGGTGGGCGGTGATGGCGGCGAATCCTTGACAGGGGGGCGGTGGCTGGCCAGGCGACGTGCCGGGGGTGGGGCCGATCGGCGCCGACGGAAGGGCCAGCGAGGCCATGGCGCTCGGCGAGAACGCAGCGGCGGTGGAGGAGGTGGTGGCGGCGGCGGTGTTGGTGGTGGTGGGCAGTGACGGGTTTGGTGGTGGTGATGACATGGTCGAAACCAAGCTAGCTGATACCAAATTGGTAGGAGCTGGGACCCTACCGGGTCTAGGGCGTAGGTTGTAGGGGAAGGAGGGGGCTGGACGTGGCGAAGCTCGCGGTCGCCGGCGGCAAGGCGCCGTCGTGCGCGAGAGGGAGAGGCGGCGGCGGCGCAAGAGGCGGCTAGGGTTAGGTCTCCCGGCTCCCTAAGGGAAGCCGAGCAAATAATGATTGCTTCTTTGCTTCTTCCTTGATTAGATTGATACATCTCCTCTCCTTATATAGAGAGGTTTACTTGACTCCTAAGCAAACGATAAGATAAACGGGCTAAGCCCCTAATAACGATAAGATAACTTGGGCCACAACCCACTGGGCTAAGCCCCTAATATGACGGTCATAACATAACAGTATGACTATTTTACATTGGTACTCCTCTTTCAATGATGTGTGCTTGCCTCCACGGATTCTCTTGTGTGTAATCTACAAAGCTCGATGCACGTCCAAGGTTTAGAACCTATGTTGGAAGTTGGCACTCTATGTTTATTATTTTGCTAATACATACATACGTTCTGCAATTATCTATACATTGGTGGCTTAATATTTATTGATTTACTTTGCTTTTTTTTAATCTCCAGGTTTATCTTGTTTTTGTTACTATTCACAAGTTTTAAATTTGCAAAAATGTAGCAGTAAGACACGAAGACATAAATTTTACATGTAACACATGAATCAAATAATGGATAAAATTAGCAAACGACCCACATGTCATTAGTGTGCTGTGGCACCACAAATTGTAAGGGGTATATGAATTGACGTTCTAGTTTCTAAAACTGCCTTCTTAGGGGAACTGGGGTATAAATATTCTAGCACGTTAGTCCGTGATTTACCTGCCCATATTAATATGACTGTAAGAAAATAGGATTTGTTTGCTAAATACCTATTTGGTAAGCACTTATTGGCTTGCCAAAGAAAACATAATTTTACTTGGCAAGTCAATCAAAGGTGCGGCACTTGAGACAGTTTTCAAGGAAACCGGTGGAAAAAACCAATGACATGAGGAAAAAAATCAAAATGAAAAAAGGGAAAGGGGAATGTACGTAAGGTTGGAAGAAGGACGAGATGGACGACAAAACGTTACGTTCTTTTTAAGTAAGTTGGGACAAGCTCAGCTGCTATTACATGTAGCTAATCAGACATCAGCTCATTGAGCACAAAATAATATGCTAGATTGTAACTTGTAACACCATAAGCACATGAGTGGCCATGATGGCCGTTGCTGTCCATGTATGGTAACCAATGTTTGTTTTGCTTTAGAGGGATAAATTCACCTATTGAATAATTGCAGGCCCACTGGAACTGCTACTTGTGTCCGGCAAAGTGCTTTATATGCAGGCCGCCTCAGTCGGTTACGTGGAAGCCAGGAACCGGAAATAACGAATAAGCTACTGTAAGTTTCCTTAGTTATCCGGATATTGTATGGTGCTTATTTTCATGAGCACTTAATAATATATCTGTTTTGGCTATTACTTGCACTTCATTCTTATAGAAGAAATAGTTTTGTATGCAATGCTAGTTTCTTTTAAAGTAGCCAGCAATTATTTCCCTTATTTCCATAGTCATGGACCAACATGTTGTCATCAGGGTTGAGGAGAATGCTAACAAGGTGAGTGGCAGTGTGGATCTACCTGAATCGAAGACACTAGCGCTGAATGACACACGTCCTAAGCTTGAATTAACTGATAGGTATGACCATTATTGTTCCGTTATTTTTAGAGCTGAATGACACACCTCCATTATTGTTTTGTTATTTTTAATCAGGATTTGGCTTGTTGGAATTCCATGTGTGTATTATGACTCTCTTTCATGTGCTCTGCATATCATTCATATATGTTTGATTCTTCAACTCCAGAAAACTTGTTGAAGAAGATTATTTATACCAAATATCTGTTTATGGCTATTTGCACTTTAGTTCTCGTAGAAGAAATAATTCTGTATGCAATGCTAGTTTCTTTTATAGAGGCTAGTAATTCTTTCCCACACTTCTAGTCACCAACCAACATGTTCTGGTCAGGGTTGAGGAGAATGCTGGCAAGGTGAGCGGCATTGAGGGTCCTGCAGTTAAGGTTCTACCGTAAGTGTGCCTCTAGCAAATACAACTTTTTTTTTTTGCAGCAGTGCTCCTTAAAAAACAACATACTGCCTGGTTATTATTGCAATACCACCATCATAAAGTTGCTGACTAATGAGCATATTGGTTTTCTTGGTCAGGGTTGAGGTGGATGCTGGTGAGGTGAGCAGCATGGAGTTTAAAGCATCTACACTCCGCCAGTCACCTCCTACACTTAACTCAACTCACAGGCACTGCATTCACCTCTTTTTTGCCCAGCCCAGGACCATGGGTTAATATTTTTATTGATTCGATTTTTATCTTGTTGTTTGTTACTGTTTAATATATGTAAAAGCTTCAAAGCAATAAAAATGTACCTTGAGCATTCTTTCATGTGTTTTGCATATCATTCAAATATGTTTGATTCATCATCAACTTGACAAAAATTAGTTAAAGAAGATTATTTAAATCTAGTAAATGGTAGCTTTGGAATAATCACTGATTGTGCAGACTTTTGTTGCTCTAGGTCCAAGGAATGTGCTTATGACACTGCCGAAAGTAAGACTGGCTCTGAAATTGTTGCGGAGGAAAAGCTTACAGATGAATCAGATCCTTGGTACGTATGATGATTTTTCTTTTGTTCATCTCGTGCTATAATTAGTTTGTAGTTTGTAAGTTTTAAATGCATTGGTGTAGTAAAAGCTCAGAGCACTAAAGTTTTACTTGTATATACGTGGATCAAATAAGGGAAAAACAACAACAGAACAACGTATTATTAGTGCTTGTAGACCTAGATCCACAATGTGATAATCAAACACCATTTAACAGGATGCTGGATAGACATATACTAGCTGAGAGAATGTTTGAACTAGGCAAGAAAGAACAAGGGTTCGATGCGGCCTCTCTGCATTGCACTGTGCAGTGGTAAGGCTTCCCTCATTTAATCCTTCACAAGACCCCACCTGGTGCGGGAGCTTCTACCACTGGGTCTGTCCTTTTTTAATAGATTTGTTCTTTCTTGCTTGGTTCAAACATAAATTGGGGAATCTAATTGGGCGCATACCTCAATTAGTCTTTTGGTGCGGCGTGTGTATAACTGTTGAATCACGCCCGCGAGCGTCCAAGCTGAGCGTAATGCGTCCAACTCCTCCACGGGTCACCCAAACACAGAATCACTGATGCATTCTCCTTCTCTCTCACCCGATCTCTCTCTGTTGCCATCCTCCATCGCCCCTGCACGCTCTACTTTGTCTCTTCCATTCCCTACCAGATCAGCTCAATCGCAACAATGGTACACCTTGTTCGAGCCTGTCATGGCGCCGGTGCTGTACCGCTATGGTTTAAGATCCGCCCACTGCCTTTATGTAGCATGGCTCAGTTCGTCCAGTTCCATGTGTCCGGCAAGGAAGCTCACCACATGTGCTCTGATGGAGGAGTTGGCTGGTGCAGGCCACTAAAAGGACGTGCACCGGGCTGACCGTGCACTGGCACCCATCTCACAGTCAAGGCATCCAGGAGCTTGCTTTCGTGAAGCACCATGGCTCATGGATGTCTGTGTTAGAGTTATAATATAAGTCATGTACCCCTTTGTATTTATCCCGTTGTATAAGGGGTTTCCTGCATATGTTCCACACCTGTACATGTATATATATCGGCCTATGGCCTCATGGGAATACAAGTTGCTTTCCTAACATGGTATTAGAGCTTTAGGGTTTTTTCTCCGCACGCGCAACTCGTGCTCCTATCGATCCACGCCCTCGTCGATCTCCCTCCTGCTCCAGCGCGCTCGAACTTCTCCAGCCGCCAGGGGCGCCCGGTTCCTCCCATCGCTAGGTCCTCCAGCACGCCAGGGGCGCCCGATCCCCAGGGCTCCCGATTCCTCTAGTCGCCAGGGCTGTCTGATCCAGTCGCCAGAGCCCGATCCAGTCGCCAGAGTCCAAGCCGCGCCTAGCCTTTCTCTGGATCCAGCCGCGCCTGCCTCTCCTGCGATCCAGCACTCCCGGCGGCAGCCTGGGTGCCAGTGCCGATTTTCCTGCAGCCGTCCCCTGCTGCTAGCGACGGCTCTCTGCGGTTCTCGTCGGGATCGTCTCGTACTCGTTTCCTAAAATAAAAAAAAAATAAAAAAAGAAAGAAAGAAAAAAAATGTCTGTTGCATCTAGCTATGTTGCTGTTCCTCGCTGTCCGGTGATCTTTGATGGTACCAACTACACCGAGTTCACTGGCTTCATGCGCATTCACATGCGTGGCATCCGTCTCTGGGGTGTTCTTTCTGGCGAGGTCTGCTGTCCGCCACGTCCGGTTCCTCGGTTGCCCCTACTCCGCCGACTCCACTGGTTCTTCCTACGGATGCTAATCAGGCCGCCAAGGATGCGGCTAAGCTTGCTGATGAGGCTGCTGATCGTGCTTATGATGAGAAGGTTTTGGCTTATGAGGAGGCTCTTCAGACGTATCATGGTGCTCTGTCTGTTTACACCCAGTGGCTTGATGATGATGCTCGTGCTGCAGCTGTTCTCACTGCTAGTGTTCTGCCTCAGTTTGCTTCTGAGTTTCTGGGTCTTTCTACTGTCTTTGAGATGTGGACCCGTCTTCGTCAGCGCTATGAGCCCTCTGGTGATGCCTTATACCTTTCTGTGGTCCGTCAGGAGCATGCTCTTCAGCAGGGTGACTCTACTGTTGATGACTTCTATGCACAGAGTTTTGCTATCTGGCGCCAGCTTGATTCTCTCCGCAATGCTGGTTGTCGTACTTGCCCCTATTGCCAGGCTGTCTAGGCCAATTTGGAGTTTCATCGCGTCTACGAGTTCCTGTCTCGGCTCCGTAAGGAGTTTGAGCCCCGGCGTGCTCAGTTGTTTGCTCGTGGCTGTATTTCTCTCATGGAGGTGCTTTCTGAGATTCGTGCCGAGGAGACTCGCTTACGTGGTGCTGGTTTGCTGGAGGTTCCCTCTGTCCTTGCTACTCGGGCTTCTTCCACGCCACCTGCTGCACCGACCCCTTCTCGCTCGGGTGCTCCGCCGCTCTTGCCCACTCCTTCTGGAGGCTCAGGTCGCCCCCGTCAACATTGCGACTACTGTAACAATGATGGTCATATTGAGTCCTAGTGCTACACGAAGAGGAAACACCTGCGCAAGGCGCGATCATCATCTTCAGGGACTTTGTCATCTACCTCGACAACTTCAGCCATTGCTTTGACTCAGCAGGATATTCTGAGACTTAAGCGTCTGCTCGCGACTTCAGGTTCTTCCTCGACGGGTATTGCTGGTTCTGTGACTGATGCTTCCCGCACTGAGCAACCACCCTCTACACAGTCAGGTACATCCCCATGGGTTCTGGACTCTGGAGCTTCTTTTCATATGTCTTCTCATTCTTCCACTTTGTCCTCTCTTCGCTCGCTGGATCCTCCTGTTCATGTCTTCACTGCTGATGGTACTCCACTTTCTGTTGTTAGTAGAGGCAATCTTACCACTTCTTCTTATTCTGTTCCTGATGTTGCTCATGTTCCTCGACTTATCATGAATCTGTTTTTTGTTGGTCAACTTACTGATTCTGGTTGTCGCGTCATCCTTGACGTTGACTCTTGTTCCGTCCAGGATCGTCGCACGCACACTTTGGTTGGGGCTGGCCCTCGCCGTCGTGATTCTCAGGGTCTTTCGGAGTTGGACTGACTTCATGTTCCTTCCGCTGCCACCACCATCGCCAGTTCCTCCGCTTCAGTCGCCTCCGTTACTGGTTCCTTCAAGCAGTGGCATCATCGACTTGGTCATCTGTGTGGTTCTTGGTTGTCGTCTTTAGTTCGTCGAGGTCTTCTGGGGTCTGTCTCAGGAGATGTCTCTTTAGAGTGTCAGGGTTGTCGTCTTGGCAAGCAGATTCAATTACCATATTCACATAGTGAGTCAGTGTCTAAGCGTCCTTTCGATTTAGTCCATTCTGATGTATGGGGTCCGGCTCCTTTCGCTTCGAAAGGTGGTCATAAATACTATATTATTTTCATAGATGATTTCTCTCGTTACACATGGCTTTATTTCATGACTTCTCGTAGTGAGGTGTTGCCTATTTATAAGCGTTTTGCTGCCATGGTTCATACTCAGTTCTCTTCACCCATTCGTGTTTTTCGTGCTGACTCCGCTGGCGAGTATATCTCTAAGATGTTGCGTGGTGTTCTTGCTGAGCAAGGAACTCTCTCAATTCTCTTGTCATGGTGCTCATGCTCAGAATGGTGTGGCTGAGCGAAAACATCGTCATCTTCTTGAGACGGCTCGTGCATTGATGATTGCTGCCTCTCTCCCGCCTCATTTTTGGGCTGAGGCCGTCTCCACCTCCACCTATCTTATCAATCTACAGCCTTCCGCTGCTCTACAGGGTGGTGTTCCTTTCGAGCGTCTTTTTGATCGTTCTCCCGATTATTCGATGCTTCGCTTGTTCGGTTGTGTTTGCTATGTTCTTCTTGCCCCTCGCGAATGCACCAAACTGACCGCTCAGTCTGTTGAGTGTGTCTTCTTAGGCTATAGTGATGAGCATAAGGGCTATCGTTGTTGGGATCCTATCGGTCGTCGGATGCGTATCTCTCGAGACGTGACTTTTGATGAGTCTCGTTCCTTCTACCCACGCCCATCTTCCTCGTCCTTTTCAGTGGAGGATCTCTCTTTCCTTACTTTTCCTGACTCACCTATCACCCTCGTCGAGCCTGTGCCTCTTCGTTCCACTCCCTCTGCTTCTCCACCTCTAGTCGATTTGCAGCCACCATCTTCCCCGGTCTCCTCGCCTAGCATGTCACCGGATTCTACACCTTCATCTCCGGTGACTTCTTCGTTGCCACCCCCCCGATTCTCCCTTGGTGATTCCTCCTTCTATTGTTCCATCTTTTCCTCAGCATTACACTCGTCGTTCACGCCCTGTGGATGCCTCTGTGGATGTGTCGTCATCTTCCTCTCAGCCTACTTATGGCTTGCGTTCTCGTCCTCGTCCGCCTGTTGATCGCTTTGGATTTCCCACCGCTGGTGCTGCTGTTCTTGAGCCGACTTCTTATCATCAGGCTGTTGTTCATCCTGAATGGCAGTTTGCGATGGCAGAGGAGATTGCTGCTCTTGAACGCACTGGTACCTGGGATCTTGTTTCTCTTCCTCCCGGAGTTCGTCCCATCACTTGTAAGTGGGTCTACAAGGTTAAGACTCGCTCCGATGGTTCTCTTGAGCGTCACAAAGCTCGTCTTGTGGCTCGTGGTTTTCAGCAGGAGCATGGTCGTGATTATGATGAGACTTTTGCTCCTATGGCCCATATTACCACTGTTCGTACACTTCTTGCCGTTGCCTCTGCACGCCACTGGTCTATATCTCAGCTTGATGTTAAGAATTCCTTTCTTAATGGTGAGCTGCGTGAGGAGGTGTACATGCAGCCACCACCTGGGTATTCTGTTCCTGATGGCATGGTATGTCGTCTTCGTCGCTCTCTCTATGGCCTTAAGCAAGCCCCCCGCGCCTGGTTTGAGCGTTTTGCCTCTGTGGTCACTGCCGCTGGTTTTTCAGCAAGTGCTCATGATCCAGCATTGTTTATTCACCTTTCTCCTCGTGGTCGGACTCTTCTTCTCTATGTTGATGACATGATCATCACTGGGGATGACTCCGAGTATATTGCCTTTGTAAAGGCCTGTCTTAGTGAGCAGTTTCTTATGTCTGATCTTGGACCTCTTCGCTATTTTCTTGGGATTGAAGTCTCTTCTACCTCTGATGGCTTTTTTATATCCCAGGAAAAGTATATCCAGGATCTTCTTGCTCGTGCTGCTCTTACTGACGAGCGTATTGTTGAGACTCCTATGGAGCTCAATGTTCACCTCCGTGCTACTGATGGTGATCCTCTCCCTAACCCGACGCGTTATCGTCATCTTGTTGGCAGTCTTGTCTATCTAGCTGTCACTCGTCCGAACATCTCTTATCCGGTTCATATTCTGAGTCAGTTCGTCTCTGCTCCCACATCGGTTCACTATAGTCATCTCCTTCGTGTTCTCCGATATCTTCGGGGCACGATCTCTCACCGTCTATTCTTTCCTTGCTCCAGTTCTTTACAGCTCCAGGCCTATTCAGATGCTACGTGGGCTAGTGATCCTTCAGATCGCCGTTCACTTTCTGCTTACTGTGTTTTTCTTGGTGGTTCTCTCATTGCTTGGAAGACGAAGAAACATATTGCAGTTTCCCGTTCGAGTGCCGAGGCTGAGTTGCGAGCAATGGCTCTTTTGACGGCAGAGGTGACTTGGTTACGGTGGTTACTTCAGGATTTTGGTGTTTCTGTCACTACACCGACTTTGCTCTTATCTGACAGTACAGGTGCTATTAGCATTGCGCGCGATCCTGTGAAGCATGAGCTCACCAAGCATATTGGTGTTGATGCTTTCTATGTGCGCGCTGCTGTGCAAGATCAGGTTATTGCTCTTCAGTATGTGCCTTCCGAGTTACAGTTGGCGGATTTCTTGACGAAGGCCCAGACTAGAGCACAACATGGCTTTTATCTCTCCAAACTCAGTGTTGTTCATCCACCATGAGTTTGAGGGGGGGTGTTAGAGTTATAATATAAGTCATGTACCCCTTTGTATTTATCCCGTTGTATAAGGGGTTTCCTGCATATGTTCCACACCTGTACATGTATATATATCGGCCTATGGCCTCATGGGAATACAAGTTGCTTTCCTAACAGTCTGGAGGTTCCTGCACCACCATCTGTGCACCTGCTTCCTGCATGTCTTGGAGCTTCAATTTGTTTTGATGGAGGATAAGATTGAGATTTTTTTTTTACAGCCAAGGTAGTCTTGATTATGAAAATCCATATTGCCGTTACAGGTTATGTCCTTCCCCTTCCTCAAATGATGGCGTGTGATGTTTCTCTCAACGTGTGTGAGTGGGTCTGGGAGAGAGTTTGACAACCGAGTTTCTCTCACCGGGATAACTTGCTACTGTCAATACCTAAGATAATAAAAATTGCTAGGAGTAATCCTTAGTTCTTATTGTATATAATAGAAAAGTTAAGAGTTCTGTTTGTAACCATTTACTTGATAACTTGGTAACTGTTACTACAGCTAGAAAACCTGGTCACTCTCAGCTGGATGACTTGATATTTTGTTGGTAACTGCGCATTGGATATATATATATATATATATATATATATATATATATATATATATATATATATAGCCTGTTTTCTGGTTTCTACTACCAAGAAACCTTGTCACTCAGCTCAAAAAACGTGGTATTTTGTTGGTAACTGTATATTGGATAGAGTAGAATGCATGCACGGTCCTAATTCTTTCACGAAAGTGTCGACTGGGTCCTAATTCTTGCAAAATGCACGTCTGGGTCCTAAATCTTTTTAAGTTGTTCATCTGGGGTCCTAATTTCTTCTGACCACCGCTGACCTGCCTGCGTGGCGCTTGGACCCTGGCCACGTAGACAGGAGGTCCATGGGCGGCTTGATATGCAAATTTGCCCCTGTAATAGTTCTTCTGGATCCCCGGTCCCTAGGTCTTTTCCCTCAATTATCTCTGGCGGCGCTCCATCGCCATGTCTGCCGGCGCAAGCTCGTCTGCGGTCAAGCGCCATGGGAAGAAGCCGTTCGGTGCAGCCCTGACCTTGGCAGCGTCGTCTCCACCATCGGTAGTAGCTACTTTTGCACTGCCGCTACCATCGGGGACACTGCCGTTGGTGCCATGCCCCTGACCCCGCGCGCCTCCCATCACGACCAGCCCGAGCTGGAGGTCGCCTCCGCCCCAGCGCCGCCCAGCTCCCGCTTTCTCCTGTTCCTTCCTTCACCTCCTCCTCATTCCCAGTCTCTCATCTTTCTCATCTCCCGGTGCAGGAACCTCCATGGATGAATGCTCGAGCACCCCTGTCGCCTATCTGGACGCCGTCCGCGGGAACCTTGCGTCAATGGTCAGATCCGGTGCCCCGCGGCCGATCCGCCCATCCCCGGCGCCGCAGCTCTTCTCCTCCTCAGCTCTGGCAAGTCCCTTCAGCCCCGTCCTCGCCTGTCCCCAGCGGGTGTGCGAGAGCCCCGTGGGCCACCATCGCCTTCACTGGTCGAGCTCGCTCCCCCGTCGCATGCAGTGCATTCACACGCGCGGCGATGGGCACGACGGATGATGGATTATTCCTAGCGGCTTTGGCACCATCCTAGCAGCCGACGCTGCCAGACTACCGCCGCCGATGACCTCCGCTTCTCACCGGAGCCACGTCGCTCGCCTTCGGTTTTGCCAGAGAGGGGTGGGCAAGAGGAAAGGCACCGCGACTGTAAATAAATTAGTGTTCGAGGGCTTTTTTGCAAATATGCATGGCCGGTCGTTGCTCCTCCTGGGCCCTCCTGTCCACGTGGTCACGGTCAAAGCATGACGCAGGCAGGTCAGCGCTGGTCAGACGGATTTAGGACCTCGGATGAACAACTTGAAAAGATTTAGGACCCAGACGTACATTTTGAAAGAATTAGACCCAGCCGACACTTTGGTGAAAGAATTAAGACCGCCCATGCATTTTACTCTATTGGATATATATAACCTGGTAACTGTTACTAGACAACCTCATTACTGTTACTAGACCACCTAGTTCTAATCATGTATTGCAAATATAATTGGTATTGCTACTAAGACAACCTGGTTACTGTTTCTAGACAACCTGGTTACTGTCGCATGAACAACTTAGTCTTAGCCAGAGATAACTTGGTAATTTCAACATCAGCTTTGAAATAGCTGTTAAATATATAAGTAGCACACTGTATCACTACCCATCTAGCACAGCATAAATTCGTACCATAGAAGAGATTGAGGTGTGTCAGGCCAAGAAATTCATTGGCACAGCTGGTTCTGCGATCCTCCCGGTTTTGTTGCAGTTTGTAAACAAAAAATAAATCCCTTTTAGCTCATGCAGTATTGCCTCGTCCACAATACTGCAGCAAATCCACACCAAATGGAGTCAGAGGAGTTCTTATCTCTGTATTTAACCCAGGACAGGAACTGCCTTATGTTTGCTGGCAACCAACGCCAATCAAACAACTCCCAATCACAGCCCAAACAAATTCAGCAATGTACATAAGAATAGCAAGTGATCATTAGACTTGTCATCATCGCACAAAGGACACCGTCCATCGGTAGGGCCATGCCGGGCAAGGATCTACACCCTGGTAGGGATACGGTCATGAATGACCTGCCAAAGAAACACCCTGATTTTTAAAGGAAGCGTAAGCCTCCACATATCAAAAACCCCTGGAAGGACAGCCAGTGATACATGGATTTAGAAGTATATTGACCATTGGATTCATAAGTTCAGCTCACTCTGTCTGGTTGATCAGAAAGAGAGATTTCATTTAAATGAACCATTAAAGCCTCCCACTATCTCAAGTTATCAGAATCAAACACCCTCTTTTAAACTTGACATGCCACACTCCCAGAGAAGCATGTTTCTTCGAGAATCCATGCAACTTATCCCTTTTCAAGCTCCTTGAGGCATACCTACTAGCATGCAAGCAAACAAACATAACAGTAACAGTACAAAGGAAATAAGACAATCCAGTTGGTTTAGTGTCGATGGTTTGTTTTTTTTCCCGATAGGACTTGAGAACCAACTTTACTTCCCCACATGAACGTGTGCAGGATAACTCGGTCCCAAACTCTTCATCGCCTATTTCATCCCCTAGCTCCTATGCAAATCCATTCTCAACAGTGTCATGCATTGGATCAACATGATGCAGTCCCATGCACTCTAGACCATGCATAGAGAATTCCGACGTGCTACAGTCTATGGATTAACTGATTTCTTTTTCTTTAGTTGTCTCTTAAACTACAAATCTGTGGTACGATGCCATTTTAAGGTGAAGCTTGCGTATGTGAATAGGACTCATGATCAATATATTGATCATTGCATGGCATATAATTAATTAGAAAAATTACTCCTTGTACCTCAGAGAACAGTGTATATGATATGGAGCTCAATGCTCTTTTACAGTTTTTAAGTATGCATAGCATAACATTTTTTAAGTATGCATAGCATAACATTTGTTGTATATTGCCTCTTAGGCTCATGATTGATGTGTGCGGATTATTATTTTGCATTTTCTTGATCCTTTGGGTTTGTTGTGATTCAGGGCACAAGAATATCGTGAGATACTAAAGTACTTGGCCGAACATAGATATACTGACGTCGTGGAGGCTATGATTGCCGCTAGTCATGGCTTTAGCAACCCGGCCCAGCATAAACTGGATGCTGAAGCATTTTGGTCATCAGGAGAGGAATTAAAATTTCCTGAAGTCTCCAAGCCCTTTGCCTCTCCAACAGAGAATTCAGTGCAGTATGTGTCCTTTATGATTTTCTTATAAACTTTTGAAGCATATGCAGCAGTTTTAGTGTACTGTTGCAGGGGAGAACCGTCTACCAAAGAAATCATTGAGGATGCTAAGAAGTGGATGGGCGAGGAAGTCATGGTGGCTTTCAAGAAGTACATCAAATGGCAGGACCAATTCAAAGTATGTGTGATTTTTAACTATCCTGTCCATTTTAATCGAAAACAAGTTTTGTTTATAAGGTGTTTCTTTCAGGACGTGGAGTATAGCCTGGATGAGCTTCAACATCAGTGCTTCAGCGTGGAGAGCTATGACCATACCTTCCATCACTTCAACTTCACCGTTAAGATGAAGAAGCCAGACGGTGATTGGTCATCGACGCCCTATTTTGCTCAAGTGAAAGAGATCTATGGAAGAAAATATTATACCTGCTACGAACTAAGTTCATATGATGATGGTACGTGTATATATATGCCTTTCTCGTTTTCTCTTTCGTCGTAACTAAATATGGATCATTTTAACTTTGTTTGTTGCAAAATCACGGTTTTGATCTAGTATTGAACTGCATATCGTTGTTTAGGTCACTGCTACGCGTGCATAAATCAAGGAATGCATGCACTGAAGCACCCTATTGGTGAGTTCGGGTACGACGGTGGCCATCCTGACACGGGGTCCCCCTTCCTTTATCTTAGTGACGATGAATAATGAGATGTCGAGCGATGACGGTGTGTTTCAGTCAATGACCGAATGGTTACATCTTGATCTGCATGTAGTTCAGTATTTAATTATTCTTAATACTGAACGTTTACTCAGGAGTCGCCGTGTTTGTAGTACAATTGTGAATTATGTACGTAGGTGTTTTTTTTTTCTCGGATCAGAAGTTTGTACTCTGTCTCCAAAAAGGGCTATAAATTTTGGGGAAATGTTAACTAGGGAACGTTCGTCCTGCGAACTGCTCTGTCGTCGGCCTATCAGCCGCACAAATCTCAAAGCAGTTCCCCTAGCCACGTCACTATTTTGATCAGTTCGCGCGGCGGGTTGTGGTAGCGAGGAGACTGTGAGATCCACGGCCCGCTTCCTCAATTTCTCCGATGCCCCAGTCCATCAGACCATCACGCGACCAACTCAAATGGATTGATCCCGACAGATCACCCACCCCCAAGGCTCAAACCTGTGCATCCGATGCACCACACCATTCTGGACTGTTAGATTAAAAGACGATGGACATGATTCAGGCAAACAGGGGGCTGTGAACATATTTTGCAAACAGAACACTTTGTTTTGTCAAAATCAACCCGCACTTAACCTCTCGCTGCGATTTCCCTATAGTGGGCTTATTTCGATGGAATGTAAGTGTTTTATTGACAATAAGCCAGACTACTGGGTAGAGTGCGGGTTGATTTTAGCAAAATACAAGGTCACTTTTGCGCGCCAACAACTCATCAGTAGTCAAACATAGTCCGTTGGTTATCCATCCAAAGGACCAAAATCGCACGGTGCACTCGGTGCACAGATTCGTCCGTTTCACCTGATACATTCTCGGTGATCGAGAGACCTCCTCGTCAGCGCCGGGACCTCCTATGTGCCGCTCTTTGCGGCGAAGAGACGCAGTTTCGCACAGGCGGCCTCTGACTGGGCCAGCCCATGACCTTCAGCGAACATCTGTAGCTCCAAAAAAATCGACGTCGCTGGGAATCAATCCAGCGATCTCATGCCGCCAACGACGAGCCGCAACCAGCTGAGCTAGCGTGATTTTATGATTAGGAGACAGCGTCAACCAATAAGAACCAATAGGCAGCCGCAGTTCCGAATTAATTTTGGAATTTTGAAAGCAGTTTTTTTTAAAAACTGAGTGTTTGTGAAACGCAAACACTGTCCAAATTTGCGATTTGTTTTACAAAATTGAAACACTTTTCGAAATCATGAACACTTTTTTCCGAAAACAGGAACATTTTTGAAATTCCAAATGAAAATTGTGCAAACGCGAACATTTTTTAAAACTCCCGAACAAAAATTAAAAACACGAACAATTTTTAGAAAATTTGGAACAATTTTGAAAAGGAACATATTTTTAAACACAAAAAATTAAAACATGAACATTTTTTGAAAATGGGAACATTTTCTGAAAAGTTGTGAAATTTTTTAGCAGAAACATTCCGAACATTTTTTTAATATGTGAACATTTTTTGTATTTATGAACAAATATTGAAAACACAATCTTTTTTGAATATTGATCGATATTTAGAAGCAATAATCTTTGTTGAAATTTCAGAACATTTTTCAAACTAACATAACGTTGAAAAATATAAAAACAAATAGTACACGAACAATGTTTAAAAGTGCAAACATTTTTCAAATTTACGATTTTTTTTCGAAAACACAACCTTTGTTGAATTTTGATCATTTTTATAAAACGACGAACATTTTTTTAATTTTAGAACATTTCTGAAAGATGCGAACAAAATTTGAATTTTCTGAACTTTGATGAATTTCTGAATGTTACTAAACTAGAATATTTTGTGAAAAAACGAACAAATTTTGGAAAAGGCAAACATGTTTAGAATTTTCAAACATTTTTTGAACAAGAAAATGAAAATGAAAAAAATAGGAATGAAAATAAATAAGGAATCTAAAAACATAAAAAGGAAAGAAAAAGAAACAGGAAAAAACGAAAAGAAAGAAAACATGGTTCTGGATCTTCTAGAAGGTTCACAAAACCGAAATAAACCCGTGGAACATTCCCAAAACCGGAAACAGAAAGGTTTGCCTGCAGTCATGAGATGGGCCGGCCCTAATCGCTCGATGCGCATCTCTGGCTGTGCGTTGCGGCGACAATTTGCCGCAATGTGCGAGGAGGTAGGAATCGAACCTGGCACCTCCTGTGACTTACGCACGACCCTAGCCAATGGGCTACATAAGCTTTCATGTTTTACTACGGCGCGCGCAGCTAAAGGTAATGCAGATTCGAACATTATTTTGAGAAAAGTATTTTTTTAATGCGAACACTTTTCCAATTTGAGAAGAAAAACTAAAAAAATATAATCAGAATTTACTGAACCAACACGAGTTTTAAAAAAATTCGATAAACACAAAAAAGTTTTTCGAAAATCTGAACAAGTATTTAATAGTGATTTTTTCAAAAACATGAATATTTTTGAAAGGAGAACAAATTTTGAATTGTGAACAAAAAAAATTTGTAAACATGAATTTTTTTGTAAACATGAACACTTTTAAAATTCTCGACCAAAATTTAGAAATGGGAACAATTTTTCAAATAACAAACAAATTTTGAATTTTTAGAACAAATTGTAAAATATAGAACAATTTTGAAAATCCCAAACAAATTTGAAATGTGAACAATTTCTTAATAAGTGAACAAATTTTGAAAAATACGAACATTTTTTTGAAATTTGTGAACAATTTTTGAATACATGCATTTTTTGAAATCCATGTCATCATTTTCAAATTTCTCAAAAAATGAAAAAAAAGTAATTTGAACAATTTCTGAAAAAACAGGAACATTTTCTGAAAATTCGGAACAAAAATTTTGAAACCAGAAACATTTTTTAAATTTACGAACAAATTTTGTAAAATAGGAACATTTTTTGAATTTGTGAGCAAAATCTGAAAAACAGGAACATTTTTTGGAATTCGGATTTTTTTTGAAAATAAACTTGAAAAGGAAAAAAGATAAAAGAAAAGAAAACAGAAAAAAAAGAAACAGAAAAAAGAAAAGAAAAAAGAAAAAGAAAAACGAAAAAGAAACTGAAAAAGAAAAAGCCGTTTCATGAACCCAAAACCGGAAAAAACCAGCTGGAAACATCATAGAAGGTTTCCAAAACCGAGTCTGCTGTAACGCTAAAATGGGCCGGCCCACTCGTTCGCTCGGTCGCACCTCCGTGTGCGAAGCTTCGACAGCTTGCCGCAACGAGCGGCAAGTAGGATTTTCCGTCAGCGCCCAGCAGGAGGTTTGGGCGCCTACGTGGTTTCTTCATGGGCTACATTGAGGAAGCCCAGTCGATGGTGTAACTGTTTCATTTTGCTGTTACGTTCGATTTCTGGTTCGTTCACTGTTTGTGTCGTAATGAACTGAAATGCATCAGTTTGAATCTCCCGAATTATGGAAAAAGGTTGTGCACTGTCGTTCTTGTTTTGTTCACTGTTGGAACGAGGTTGTCTTTATGTTTTTTTCCTTGTCTTTTCTCAGTGATTTAGTAAATTGTACTTTGTTGAAAAAAGGTTCATCGAATCTGAAAATGTTCATCGTGTTTGAAAAAAATCCATTGAGTTTAAAAAAAGTTAATTGACTTTGATAAAAAGTTCATAGATTTTAGAAAAATGTTCACCAACTTTGAAAAAAGTTCATCAATTTTGGAAAAAGTTGATCAAACTTGAAAAAAAATTCTTTAATTTTGAAAAAAAGCACCAATTTTGAAAAAATTCATCGAATTGGAAAAAAGTTTGTCCTGTTTGAAAAAAAAGTTCATAGAGTTTGAAAAAAGTTCATCTACTTTGAAAAAAAATTCATCAATTCGAAAAAATGTTCATCCATTTTGAATTTTTTTCTCAAAGTTGAAAAAGTTAATCAATTTTTTTAAAAAAATCATCATATTTGAAAAAGACCATCAAATTAGGAAATAGTCCACAAGTTTGAAAAAGTTCATCGATTTTGGAAAAAGTTCATTGGTTTCAAAAAAGGTTCATCCAACTTAGCAAAAAGTTCATCAATTTCGAAAAAAGTTCATTGATTTCGAAAAAAATAGTTCATCCAATTTGGAAAACAGTTCATCTATTTTGAAGAAAATCATCGAATTAGAAAAAATGTTCACAAATTGAAAAATTGTTCATCGATTTTCAAAAAACATTGATTAAATTAAAAAGGTTCATCAATTGTGAAAAAAGTTCACCGAAAAACATTGATTAAATTAAAAAGGTTCATCAATTGCAAAAGGTTCATTGTTTTACAAAAAATAGTTCATCAAAACTTTAAATAGTTCACATATTTGAACACAAAAAACATCAAATTTGGAAATGGAAAAATAAAAACAAAAGGAACAGAAAATAAATAAATAAACGAAAAGGAGCTATAAAATAGAAAACGAGAAAAGATAAAAAAGAAAAAGGAAAAAGGAAAAAAAGGAAAGAAATAGAGAAAGAAAAAAATTCCCAATTTGGTGCACGTGTGAGGAAGTCTAACGGATAGAATGTTCCACGAAGAGGTATCCTGGCGTATTGGTTAGTACACCTCGAATCTTTGGAATTTGAATTAGTTTGAATTGCTTACCACATATATCACGTGGTACTACACCTCGAATCAAACTAGTATGCCGCGGGTTCGATACTCATTGCCACTAGTATGGGAGCAACTAGTTAACGAGCGCTACTTCGGGAGCCTCACAACGATCAGTGCCGCTCTGCACGCTCTCACCTGCCCGCCACGTGTCGCGGTCTAGGCGCTCCCTCCGGATTTTTTTTGCACGTGTTTTCGGCTTTTTCAACGGGCTTTTTGATTTTTTCGACGTTTCGGTTTTCCACCGGTCTTCCTTAACTTTTGGACCATTTTTTTTTGAATTTTTTGTGTGCGAAAAACGTGTTTTCTTTTTTTTTCTTTCGCGACAGTCACGGCCGTGCCTCTCGGAAACAAAAAAACGCATTTTTTGTTCTTCCGCGAGAGGCACGGTTTTGCTTCCGAGAGAGGCACGGTT